GCCTGAAGCGGCGGTGGCTCGGGAGGGAGGAACGGGGGGGCCGCGGGAGCCGACGGCCTTGTGCCGGAGTTGGGTTTGTGCTGAAGCTGAACCTCGCCTTGTCAGGTTGTTTGCTCTCAGCTGAGTCTTCATACGCTTCGTTTTAGGTCACTGCTTGTTTTTGCTTTCTTTTTCCTTCCTCTTCCGGCTTTGTGCCCTGTCCGCCGAGCTGCTGTTCCTACTCTTCTTCCTTAAAGGATTAATGCTTCATCTCCATTAGCATGGGAGTAATCCGCTTGAGAGCCAAAGCTTTGCTTTTATAGTAGGAACACACATTTGCCAGTGTTTATTCTTAACTTTATACAGAGGGTGAACGTGTTCTTACATCCTGCTTCCGTGGGTCTTGTATCGGCACACAGCGTTCCCCTTACCAGCTGTACTTCAGTAACCTACGTCGGAGGAGCTCTGAGTTAGTTACACATTGTTAGTTCATCTGGATGTAAACCAAAGTCTTACAGCTGTCACTGCAAACACGTGGGTTTGCTGACATGGCAGTTCCCGAGGAGCCATTATGGTTCCTGTCATCTGTCTTTTCAAGGTGAGACCTAAGCCACCTCCAGTTCGCTAAACCTGTTTGGGAGCAGAGTGTTCCTGGCAACTTTGTATTTTTTTCTAAAACCTAGAAAAGGGGCAGTAGTGATTAAAATTGGTGCTTCTAGTCCTGGAAGTACTTGTGAGATTATCTACAAGTTGCTGCAATGTTATTGCTGTGCTAATTTCCTTCCTCAGTGGTTTGTTTCAACGGCATTACTTTAGGTCTCTGAGAAAGCAGCAATATACTTCAGAGGATTAACAAAAAGAGTAAGTTGAAAGAGTTGACTCCCTTTTGGACCTTCTAAATGTACCCAGATCCCAGATAATCAAGTATTTTCTGCTCTTCACCTGTATTAACTGCTCTTCCATAGGGTAGACTTAAGTGAGTGACATGGGAGGTGGCTCACCCACAGCTCTCCAGGTTATGGTGTAACTGTGCAATTATAGTTAAGTTTTAACTTTAAATTCAAATTCAAACACACAAAAGTCTTTTTAGAAAGAACTTTTTAGGCACTAATGTCTGAAGAACTCCCAACTGATTTGCAAAGTTTTTTGCATCAGCAACAGGATTTGATGTGAGTCTTATTCCAGTCCATGTTATTTTTCAGTCTCTTGTTTTGTTTTTTTTTTTTTTCTCTCTCATGGGCAGACTGGTGTAAGTGTGGGAATATCATGTGCTAGGTAAGCAATGAGAGTTTTAGAACTAGGTCTTTGGCTTTTGATGGAATAACAAAGGATGTAAACCTCTCTGCATGTATTGTGAGGGGCAGCGTGAAAGGCTGTCAGACCGGAGGTTTTCCTGTTGTGGTGAACTGGTGTCCGTCTCTCTCACCAAGAGATGTCTCATCACTACAGCTTCTTTTTTAGTGACGTGTGATGCCGTATGGAAGATTGTTCACAGAGTATAAACATCCTTCAGTAAGGGTTTAAGATAGTCTGTCCTGTGGCTGATTTGCCCTCATGTAGAAGCAGTGGTATCTGTAGTGAGGAAGGATGTACAAGGCCTTGGTCATTCCAGCCTAAAATAAACACCTTAACTTATTTTTGCGGGCTTGAAACAATGTCACCAGTAGCAGAGGAGCAGTGGGGAGAGAAGTCCTGATGTGCCATACTCTTCTACTCCAATACATTAGACTTTTAATTAAAAAAACCCCTAGACTTTTCTGATTACCTCTTTTTTTTTAATCAAACAGAAGAAAATTTTGATGTGATTCTCCTTCGAAGATGCTTGTTTCCTAACCTCAGTGGAGGGCAAAGGGATATGGAATGTGTTGCTTCCTTCACATTGCATTGAAGAGGCCTGGAAAATTTAGAATCTCTTTTAGAGGCAGTAGATGTATATTTGGGAATATCTTAACTGAAGGGTACTGAAAACTGAAATAAGATTCCCTTGGTCCGATTAAGGCAAACCGCCACAGGATGCAGCTGTGTTAAATAGTGGCTGTGTTTTGGTAGCTGTTGCACACAAGACATTGGCATGTCACCACATGGGATAGTCATTCTAGGAATGATGTGTCTATGTGTAGCTGATGTGGTCCACTCCAATTTTTCTCCTGTTTCAGGAAAGCTATAGGATGTATATTCTGAAAATCTTGCATCTCCTTTGAAATGGAAAGTATTTTTTATGGACCATAGACCTTCCTCAGAATGTTGACCTTTAGTTACATACTTGACTTTTGCAGTGATGGTCATTGGATTTAAGTCCAGTCAAGCTCTTGCCACTTAGATGCTTTCCAGAGTTACTTGCTGTGATCAAGTCCCGCTGAGGAAGTGGAGAAATGGGCATTATGTGAAACCTTGTGGTAGCTTCTCCTGTTTCTCTCGCAGCACATCTTGAAATGAGCTAAATAGAATAGCGTTAAGCTCTTGTACTTGTGGAAGTTGGATTCCAGCTGTCTTCAACTTTGACCTTAGAAATTGAATTAAACTCAGAAGCTTCCAACAGAAAAGTTTCTTTGGGTTATATTAGTGCACCAACAAGAGTCACATCTCATTAGGATGGAATGAAGTAGCTAAGGGGAAATAGGATTATTTGGTTTCTCTACAGTCCTTGAGACCTGATGGACAACATTAGTTCTCGCAAATGTTCCTGGGTTGCCTTATTATGACAGTGTGAGCATGCATAGCTGGGGTGTGTGACTGCTCAGTCACCTCTTGCTCATTGGGATGTTTGCCTTAGCAGCAGCAATAACTTCAGTGTGTTTTCATGAAATCACGCTGTGGCTTAAGTGTGATCCACCGCTCAAACCCCTTATGCTATACAGTTGGCTTCAACACAGCTCAGCTGAAAAGAAGAGGCAAACAAAGATGGAAGGAAATGGCAGTCCTCACCCCAGAAGCAAACCAGTACTGCAGCTCTAGAACCAAAGTGGTCACCTAGAGCTGCTTTTAGTCCTGTGAACTTGATCTCCTCTCTCTGGATTTTTGGAGACAGAGGTCCTCTAACAGAACGTGGCATCCAGCAGGAGAAACCACAGATGTGAGAACTTGCTCCAAAAGGCAAGAACAGCTTTTTGCTAGTTTTATAAAATTATATGGACAGTATTTTTTATCAGTCTGTGTTTTCTTGAAGTGTGGATGGGTAGATATAGTTATTATAGGCTAGATCTTGTGAGGACGGCAAAAAAACTAATTGAGGACCTGAACGAAGAGCAAGTACCTCACCAGCACTACTGCTCATTCCTAATTTGCCAAGAAAACAAGGAAAAAGGAAACTCCCAAATCTAAACCTATGCAACTTAAACCAGCTCTAACAAGAGAGGGTGGCAGTGAGAATCTTCCACTTTTCTCCCTGCATGAGTGCAGATAGCCCTGTCCTGCCCTGCTCTTCGTGGGAATGCAAGGAGGGATGATACAAAGCAGAGAGCTTCCTGATGGGCATCATGCTGGAAAGGTTGAAAGAAACAGCGTTGCTTAGATTCAGGTTGGGGGGAAAAGTGTTCCGGTTTACAAATGCATACTCCAAATTCTTGGTTGTCTGTTGATGGATTTAATTTCTGATGGACCAGAATCTTCATGAGGGTAATTATTTGGGGTGAGGGTGGGGGGCAATGTGCATTAGTAAAATCAGATGTGGAGCATTGTTAGTCTGTCATCTAAGGTCCTTCATAAAAAAGCCACACGTGGAGAAGACTGCTAAAAAATATGAGAGTCATTAATAGTGACTACCAAAGGCTTTAGGATTTGGTCTGAAAGGATGTTGTACTATGACAGGAATGTGTGTAAACTGTTGATAGATTTGATGGTGACTAACTTAATTAAAACTATTAAGTGGTAGGAAGTTCTTGTCAGCTGCAGGAACAAGCTGTTCCTGGGCCTTGTAAAGACCCACTTTAGACTGAACTCCTCTTGAGTTGTTTCTTTTCCCCAGTTAGTGATTGCAGAGAAACTGCAAAGTTGCTATAGACACAATAGGCATGTGCCTCTAGCAGGTTCTCTGAAATTGCAGATTTAAGAGGGTGGTTGAGCTCTAAAGTGACAAGCTCTGCTCCTGAACAACTCAAGTAGTTGTCCAAAACTCTTCAACAAAATTTTTTTGACCAGAAACTCAGTGGTGTTGATTCCCTACAAACTCTAGGAAAAGGTCTATCTAACTAATCATTCAGCCAGACTTGGTCACACCCTCAGTACTTGGCAGCTTCTGGTGTGTTTTTTTCCTGATAATGCTCAAGCCATGTCTTTTTAGCCTGACATGCATTACAGCACTGCAAGCTATGCAAGTATGTGTTTGAGTTACACATCTGTGGTTCCAGTTGAGTTGGTTTAATTCTGAATTAAAGGATCAGCCTTTTGAATAGCAGAGTAAATGACCAGTTCTGGTGATGAAGTTTGTCTGCAAAATAGCTCTGTTGCATCATGTGAAAGTGATGATAGTGTCCTTTTATTTCTATTGCTGTAGTAGCAGGCAAGAAACAGCAAACCACCACAAACCCCAGCCAGGCTGTTTTTATTACTTATTCTTAAATAGTTGGATCCTCAGCGATGTACAACAACACATAGGCCTTTCAGTCCACTGCCCCCCTCTTTTGAGGAGTGCAAAACTAAAAATAACACAAAAAGTGAGATTTTGTGTGAATGATCCCGTTCCAGCTGCTTTAAATGCTCAGGTGGATTGAAAGTGGTGCTGGGGAAGGGGCAGTCTGGAGGCACTGGTAATGACAACTGCCCATGTGAGTAACAAGATCCTGAATCACAGTGGTATGTTTGCCTGCCATGTAAGATTTATAGTAAAGGGTGGGGAGATCTATGAAGTGGGAAAAGGGAAACTAGTAGTAGACTTTTACAAAATGGATCTATATACTCTGTGAGGTGTTGCTGTTTGTGTAACGCTTGCTGAGTATCCAGAGTGACTTTGGAGCTGGCTGGTGTGGATAGACATCTCGCTGGGCTTGTGGAGTTTTGCTTCCAAGCTTATCAACATAACTCTTCTACAAATAAAACCTAGGGCAGTTGGTGGAAATGATAGGTTAAGTGACAAGGTAAGCAGTCTGTTGTGTCCTTGGGGCAACTCTGATCTTGTGTTAAGCCTATTAGAAATACCTTTATAGTATTAATTTTCTGTTCTAGCAGTCTAATGAAGCAGCTGTTTAGACACAGGAAACCTCTTTCAAGAGCCTGAGTGATTTTTCTGCTCTTGTGAGCTTTATTTTGCTTTGTGTTTTCACTGCCATGTTCTGTGTTAGGGTCAGTGGTGGGCAAACAGTTCTTGTTGCATAGGTTGGTGGACTTAGTACTTAGATACTAGGTGTGTGCCCTGCAAGGCCAAAGCATTGGGTTTGTGCTTCAGGATCGATGAGCATTTGTTGGCTTTGTGAAAGTAAATGGTATTTCAGAATAGAATTAGATCTGTTAGGGTCTTTTAAGCATTTTGGGGGGGGGTGTGGAACCGAGTGAAAGCAGGGAATGGGGTCTTGCAAAGTGGGAAACCTCGAGACAAATGCAGGCAGCAGTATATTTATATAAGGGAACAGTATATGATAAATTGTGTGTTTTCAGAAAATGGAATGAAAAACCAAACTAATTGACAATTTTTGTAATGGGTCATGAAGATGTGGTGTTGGTGTTTATTACTTAATGTATGAGGCAGTGCGCTAACATCTGGTAATGGCAATTCCAAATCTGGATGAAGAAAACTCAGCCATTCTAATAAAAGATAAAACACAGCAAATACATTCTTATTTTATATTCTTTGACCAGTTTTCTTTGAGCAGTGATAAGAATGAAACAATTTGGGTTTCTGGGGGGATTTGATGTCCTAATAAACACCAGTCTTTTAACCAGGGCCCAAGGCAGTGGCTGAGGAGAACGTGGTTCTGTCTCTGAGGCAAAGCTGGCTGAGGTGCAGTACGTGTGGACAACTCTGAGGCTGCTGATCTGATTCTTGCTTGTTTTTTTTTCTTTCAGATGGAAAAAATGCGAGTGGATCCAAACAACGTTATAATCGTAAAAGAGAAACTTCATATTCAAAAAATGAGAACTTTTCCAGTCAGTCCCGTCGCTCCAATTCACAGAAAAGCAAAGCTTTTAACAAGATGCCCCCTCAAAGGGGAGGTAGCGGCGGAAGTGGCAAACTTTTTAGCTCTTGTAATGGTGGAAGACGAGATGAGGTGAGAATTGTAATGCCATTCCTCCGAGGCCTTCTTTCTTGGGACCAGAGGATCACTCTGACCTGCCTAGATAGGTCTTCTGTGTTCAGCTCCAGGGCTGGGAAGGGAGAGAGCGGTAAGAGGTGCTAACATCGTTGAGATGCCACAGTGAGTGTGAGCAGAACAACTTGGCAACAACAGAAGAGGAGTGCTCTCTGCTCTGAGAGACTTGCAATAGAAAACACCGGCTGAGGAATGGGTACCTAGGCAGGCCATGTTCATACCTCATGAAACAGAGGTCCTTCATGAAAATATCAAGTGGTACAATTTCTAGCTTTTAAGTCTGAGGCGACTGTGTCTAACCACTTCAGTGTACAATTTTGCATGTGATGGTGGTATTGGGAAAGTAACTGTATTAGCCTTGGTGACATCAAGATGGAGTAAAACCAGACTCAGGCTTTTATGCTGATGTGGGTCTAAATACTGTAGACTGTGGGTTTTCATTGATACTCTGATTTTTCAGTTTTAGTGGATGAGCAGCACTGCTCACCTAAATTGCTATTGTCAAAACTCATCTGTTGCCTCTGTTCTCATTCTTTGCTTCATTTTATGAAAATTAACCAAAACAAGTATAACCTGTGCAGATAGTAATCAGACTTGTGTTACTGGCCATCTAAAAGAATATTGTCAGGATTCAAACAACTTTCTTCTGTTATTAACCTTGACTACTAGGTTTTGCCAGCTTTTACTTATGTGGGTTCTTTTTATGCTTTTTTCCTTTTGATCAGTGTGGGCTGAGACCACTCAGTTCTAACTTTCAAGTTCTCGTGCACTTGTAACGCTGTGCTACTTGATTTGCAGAACTGGAATGGGAGAAGATGAGTGAGGGAATGCTGTGTATTCTGTATGTAATCACTGATGGGGCCTGGGTACCAACTTGTACTGATGCTTTTGCAATTATAGCAAGTTCTAACAAATGCTGTTGTCTCTTAGGTAGCAGAGGCTCAGCGGGCAGAGTTCAGCCCTGCCCAATTCTCTGGTCCCAAGAAGATTAATCTGAACCACTTACTGAACTTCACTTTTGAACCCCGTGGCCAAGCAGGCCATTTTGATGGGAATGGACATGGCAACTGGGGGAAAAGGAACAAGTGGGGCCATAAGCCTTTCAACAAGGAGCTCTTCCTACAGGCCAAGTGAGTGGAAGACCAGTAGGGCTCTTAGACTTCTGCAGAGACACTGAGCTGTAAGGGATAATTAGCCAGGGAATGGTGTTTGACCTTGACTACTTGTGCTGACTTTTCCAGGGTTACCTCTCTGTAGTGTTTTTAGTGATGATGACCTCTAACCAAGTTACCTCTCTGTAGTGTTTTTAGTGATGATGACCTCTAACCAAGTTACCTCTCTGTAGTGTTTTTAGTGATGATGACTATACTTGAAAGGGATAAAAATATATCAGGTTGTCATCTTTACAAGGTATCTCATGGAGTGAGTTCAGTAACCACAAACCAGTTAGTCTTCTGCTCTAATTTTCTAGCCTTGCTTGTGGAATATGACACTCCCATTTGGGAAGACCTATGTAGTTCCCTTACAGAAGATGAGGCTTTTTTTTTTTTTTTTTAATAATATGTTGAGATGGTAGGGGTAGCAGTTGCTGGATCAAAGCTAATCTGACTTTGTAAGTTGCAGAAACAATTACTCATATGGGTCAGTTCTTAAACTGCTGATTATTTCACAGGCCCCTAGGTATGTAGTATAACCCAAACGATGATCAGTGTAGTAATCCAGCAGCAGAATTGCTTTTGACTGGAAATAATGGTTGCTTTCACCAGAATCTGAAGTGTGTTCAGGACATACTGTATCTGATCATATTAAAGGAATAAAACCTATTTTCA